TTTAAAACGTGGCGCATGGTATGTGAAAGGTTGGCCACCCCTGGTCTAAATAATATTTAATTTTGATTAAAATTTAATTTAAACTTCGTTTTCAGTGAAATATTTCGCTTACATTTGAAGAGAACTTTTACCGAATGAGTTCATTGGCCGGCTATGTTAATTGACAATCATGTTTCTCATCCTAAAATATATATTTATTTTATTTGCGTTTGTCAGGCTTCCACTCGCGTGGCGGTAAACGAAATGAGAGGAATAAAATATACGTTTTTTTTCAGCTGTTGCATTAAAAGAAATGTCGTATTTTCTTTTAATTTTGTTACGCGATCCAAGCGGGATCGTCAGCGCCGCATTCATTATGCACATTTGGACTTTCTGAATTGCAAAATTAAACGTAGTACACGATAATAGTAAAGCTCGAGTTCTCCATTAACGCTGTTAGCCACAAAAATATTCGAGTCTCTGATATTTTTGGATTTTTTTTTTCGCAGTCGTAGTCGGTTGAATGATTGTTTTTCTCGAGAGGAATTTAATTTATTCGTGGTTAATTTTATTGTCTTCAAGCCTATTATTGCAAGCATTCCCCATTTATAGTAATTCAGATGCAATTACAATGATTTTTGTCGTTTTACTCTATGCTAAACATTTGACAAGTATCTCCCGGTTTAGTATGCTCTATCACGATAATGAGCTTATGAAAAACAGAGATGCCGAAATACTGTGTTGGTGAAGCTCTCATTATGTATTTTCCCAACTCACAAACTATGTAAAAAAATGTACTAATATTTTGCATTTAAAAAATCGGTAATAAGGCCGGCCTTAATTCAATATTACAAGAAGTGAAATACCACAGTCACATATACTGCGGTGTGGGACTAGGGAAAACAGTGCCGTCACTGTGTTTATGACATAACAGTGCAATACAACTTTTTCCTTGCTTATTTTCTCGTATGAATTCCACCAAATCTCAGTCCTGATACAAGTACTGCATGTGTAGAGCTCAAAGATACACAATGATAACTCAGTATTGTGAGACTCACAGATAAATTGCAACAGCAAGTTTTTCATCAATGCAGATATTGGTGATATATATGATCCACATATTTTTTTATCATGATGGAAATAAGTGTGGCTCACTGGCCCATTCACTAAAAAACCTTGCCATCGTTGCTATCTAGCATACTCCATTTTCAATTTTTTTTTTCTAGATTTGAGCTTTTTTCGTGACTTTGTGCAAACATACGCATGCGATAAAAAAAAGAAGCTTAATGGAATCAGATTCGGAAAGATTCGATTCGAAAATTTTTGATTCGGGGTTCGATTCGAAAAAAAAATGTATCCGGAAGTGGCACCCCTAATCATCGACACGAATCAAATTATATTTTTGCAGGTGGGTGTAAAATCACAAGTCGGTCCGCCTTTTTAAGATTCCGCACATGGAATTTTTGTCCATGCGGTTAAATTGTGATAAACGTTTGGTCGGTAAATGGTTGGTAACATGCCGATGATTAATTAGTCAGTGTCGTTCACAAAATTCACCCCCCCCCCCCAAACAAGAAGACAAATCATAGTTTATAGTGTTTTTTAATGAGATAGATGTGATAACTTGGAAATGCAACTCAATGTAACACCAATCATTGCTGTGCTGTAGATGTAGTGTGTTAATTCTTTCAACTTTATTCATTTAACTATTGAGCCGCTTACTGTTAGCATCACCAGTTCGATACGTATTTGTTTTCTTGTTTAATAACATTTACTTGTGTTATATTTTACTTTAGATTCATTCTGAGAGTGCTTTAAATTTAAGTTGAATAAAGCCTTATATCAAGGTACTATATTTCTCATTCATTACAATAGATGAGCTTGGTGGTCTTCAGCGAGTTTTTTATTATATCTAAAATTACCCCGTTTACTGGTTGGTGGAAAGGCGATTTCGTTGTTTTGATAGCAATAGTAACACGGCTGAAAACCCCTTTTTTGCCATATAGTAGGTCGGAAATGAAAGAATCCAGGGTTCTACCTCGTACATCGTATTTTCGTACATCTCATTCATTCGTACAGCCTGATGACCTGCACCAAAATACTTCGGTAAAATTCATCCCTGATTCCTCATTCTACCACGGCCTCCAGTCTGATCACCAGTCCATAAATAACCAGCCATTTGTTTTTGGATTCATGGACTCGGATGTGGAAGAAGTCGGCTACGGCCCAGTGATCGGCAAATATTATGTCGCTCGCAGGACAAAATTCAGGGTTGCTAATCCTTGCGGGTCGCATATATTTTTTGAAAGTTAAAAACGGAACAGCGCCGAAAACTGCGACAATTCGTGAACTCAACTCAGTCGTCTTATTAAAAAAATATTACAATGACATTTAATGTGACACTGTCTTGTTGCTGCATCACGCTGGATAGCTTTACGACGCCAAGATTGAAACATTTTCTAAATGGGCATCACTAATCCCAGTTCTTTGCTTGTTCTTTGTAAAGTTCATTTTCGAAAATATTTGTTCGCACAAATATGTACATCGAAGTGAATATTTTCGCATGATTTATGAAATTTTGAAAAAGATTTCCTTTAAGAAGATATATTCTTACAAAAATTAAGCAGTGATGAATCTCTCGGATAGAATATGAATTTTATTTCCTTATTGCTTTGCAATAAATTCGAATATTGACTGCGCTATTGAACCCCTGTGCTCAGCATCAACTTTTCTTCGTGTTTCCATTTGTCTAATTATATTTAAATTGTAGGCTCGTTAAACGAGTAGCTGTTCAATAGAATTTTTAGGATATAATAAAATTTAGTCCAAACGTGTATCACGATAAATTCTGTTACGTAAAAAAATGCAATTTACTCCTCGAGCATAGATTATAAATAAAAAATTTTCATCGTCAAAACCGCCGTTTGGATGTTTCCCCGGGCATAGACTTCCTTGTTTACTTCGTGACATTGGCCAATCAGCAAGATTCAAAAAACGTAACATTGCCCTCTTTCGCATCCGCTCAGGCGCTCAGACACGCTCACTCAGACAGATTTTCAGGCGTGGTCGTGAACATTACCGCATTTTCGCGTTGTTGAATTATATTCGTTAGTTTTTAGTTGTTTTTCGGAAATTTAAATCAAATAAGTCACTGATTACTTTGTCTTCCTATGAGTTTCAGTTTAAATACAGCAATCAAAAATTAGTGTAGAAATAGCTGTTATAGACTAGGCTAAAATTCTTTATCGGTACTTTTAAGAAACAGATTGTTGAATGGTGTGTATTAGAATGATAGTTTGAAACAAATACCCCATTTTACAAGCAACAACTCGCGAAACCACTCTTAAAATAAGCACCGAAAATTTTAAATGGTAAAGCAGGGAAGAATATTCCGCGGTCAAAGGTCGGGGAAAGGTCCATTCAGTGAATCGTCCCGTCCCGGGCCAGATTATTTTTACTCCGGCCGTATTTTGCCGACCACTGGGATACGCAAACTATCGCAAAATCCTTTCGCATGTGATAATCGCCCACATGATTCAAGCCTGCGAATGCACACAGAGTACAGAATTAAGTGCGCCGAACATAAAACAGGTTTCGCGAAATCGCCCTCTTAGACTTTTTCGCCCCCCCCCCTCGGTATTGTTTTCGCCCACTGGGGGGCGATATCGCCCACATTGGGAATCACTGCTGTAAAGCGTATCCGAAGTAGGGCAATCCTAAAACGCGGGAACGACGGAAACTACGGGAAATGCACTAGAATGCGGAACGACGGGAAATTGCCAAAACAAAAATGCGAGAACTATGGGAAATTTCGCTAAAAAGCGGGAAATTTCACAAAAAGCGGGAATGACGGAAAATCGCTTTAAGGTAAGGGAAATATTTATTTTGGGGTATGTTTAGGGGAAATTGTTCTAGAAAGCGGAAGCAACGGTAAATACACGCTAGGGGGAAAATTTATCTAAAATGCGGGAATGACGGCAAATCGCTTCAAACTACGGGAAATACTCATTTCAGAGTATGTTTAGAAGAAATTGCACTAGAAGACGGAAGCAACGGGAAATATACGCTTGGGTTGTGTGGGTACGGAAATTTCACTGAAAAGCGAAAAATTTCACAAAGAGTGGGAGTGACGGGAAATCGCTCTAATATACGGGAAATATGTATTATACTACGATTACTCCGTACATGCACACTCAAGTATAAACGGCACTCCGGAAGTATGTGCACCAAGATGACGCACAGTCTGAACCATAACCTGGTACACATACTATGTTCAGGTTGCGCGCCATCTTGATCTCGTTCTCATCTAGTTACCGTCGCTCCCGTTTCCCGCATTTTAGGGTTGCCCTCGAAAGTGCAATCAAACTCACCATATGCAGTATACCATATCTCAGGATCATGACCCTACTGCATTAGTCTAATTTTAAAATTTATATCCAATTAAATTAATTAAAGTTTTCAAATGAATTTGATACGATAACATTTTTTCTTCGCAAATCCGATATGCTATTCTGATCTAAAAAAAAATTGTCTACGCTTTTCTCACGACATATAAAACATTGGTCTGCAACAGAGATGGGCCATTACGCAATCAAACATTTGGCTTAAAATCTATTATCTAGTATTGCTTATGCAACAAAAATTACTCCTGACTGTTTGAGCGAAGCTAAGTGCAAAATTACAATTGCTCTTACTCGATTTACTCGATAGATTAACAAGTCATGCAGTCGATTGAGAGAATTAGTCATGGCCAGAAATAATTGCTGACCTACTGTCAATTGTGATCCCAATGAAATACTTTGTCGCAGCGAAACCGACTTTATTTCGTTTCAATTGTTGTGAACTATTGTCGGATGAAAAGACACACGATTGCAAATTAAAAATATTCAAAACACATGGGCTTTCTTGTTGATTAAATTCAAATGAATATGACTCGCGTTTTTCTGATTTCCTATCAAGTGCTGTTCTAGTTTTAATACAGTTTGGTCGAGTTTTTATTCATTTGCGTTCTGTGAGGGGCTTCAATGTAGGTCAAATAACATGTCTCATATCTACGGTAACGTCGAACCACCAGAGGAGACAAACGAAAATGTTTATGAGGATTACATAAATCCCACTGCGTCATCTGGAGCCACAAGGCAAGGTAGCAGACAGGCTATCATCACAGTATTAAATTTTCTTTTTTAATGTAAATAGCGATTTTTCTTCACTGTCAAATTGCTCGTGAAATCGTCGTTGGCCTAAATATTTCAACAGAATATAATTGTTGGATAAAGTATATATGTATATATATGTTAGTGTCTTGCAATGCTATAATAAAGTTCACAAAATAAATCTTTAATTAGGGGTCAGATGGCCTTCAAAACATTGTATTTTGATACCAGATAACTGTCACTTAAAATTATGATAAACTTTTTATAGATGATGCTGGTGAAAAAAACTCTGAAAGTAAGAATCGAAAAATCAGTTGGTATAACATCGCCATAAGTACTGCTGTCATCTTATCTATTGGACTAGCATCATGCGGAATGATTTTTGCTGTTCAGGTGAATGTTTAACGATCATTTCCGTATATATAAAATAAATCTATGGTTTCAGACTGCATTTGACTGACTGGGCAATCTGAGACAATGCTTGTTGGCATCTTATCTCTTTATTTGTCTTTATTTCAGAATAATAACAGAATCCAAAAACTAATGGAGGGTAAGTACCCTTTACTTCAAGCTTACTGATTGTCTCCAAACAACTGATTATTTGTCTTCGAATAAATTTGTTCCGTTAAAACATCAATTTTATCAAATTTAAAATCTAGTAAATAGAAACGAGAATATCGGTCAGAGACCGAAGACTTATCGATCGAAAGTTAGGGGATCGCCCAAATCAGCGCTCTTACTCTATAGTGACACCTTGTGTCCCATCACTAATTAATTATTAACTCGCTAATTATACGACATAATTGCCCAAAATCAATAGGCTTCTGGTCCGAGATAAGATGAATGCACATGCAAAGTCTGGAGCAGATTCAATCTCGCTTTCGTGAAATATCGCGTGCATCTAACAGACAAACAGACATACAGATAGACGGACAAATACCTATCAACATACTTACCGATTAAAATCGATAAGTAATATTATAGAGTGGTATGTTGTTTTAATAGCCATTCTAAATGCTGCATATGCTTCGTGATATTAATATAAAAGCGGCTTTTATTTTTATTTCAACTCATAGCATTGGAAGTGAAAATTGAGAATATTACGACCAAAGTGATGCACAATCATGGAGGTTTGTTCAATTAAAAATGGGATTTTCTTCTATTTCTATCCAACTAAATTAACGCGGTAATTGATGGCTCAATATAAAAATTGCTTAAGTTACGTTCGTCATGCACAACGTCCGTTTATGTTTGTGAGTTGTATGTGTTATTCGACTTGCAGAAATACTTTCGTACTGTTGTTCATCTAATTTATATTCCATATAAAGAGTTGTTATTTCCAACTCATCTTGCTATATTCTGCAAACGTGTATATGTGACTATTAAGATGAGGGCTATGTATGTATGTTCACCTGTGCAAAAATTTATCAGTAGATAAACAATAAACTTTAAATTTCAACGCTGGTAATGTGTCTTTGAACTAGTTACTCAACAACAAGTTCATGTACGTCGCCAGGTTCGAGCTCAAAGTTACTAGCTAGAGTTATTTAAACGAAATGAATTGACTTGAATTTGAAATATGCTACCTGACAGACTCTATTTAAGGCACAACGATAATTTTGATTTTGAATATATTGTTGCTATAAATATAGATATAAGTCTTAGTGTGATTGTGGCTCATATTTACCCATTTGTTAGTTGTTTATGAAATTTGCTATGACTCGACTTGTGACTCGGAACGAAAGCGGCTCGAATTGACATTACTGATATTGATACTCGAATTTTTAACTTAGTGTGATGTGAAACCGCGTTTTGTCTTGTCTTGTCTTGATAAACTTTAGCCTTTGTTGAAATCAATAAGGTATATATGTATATTTTTTTTCAATTTTCCTTTTAAATAGTGATTTCATTTTCAAAATAACATAAAAACGCCCATATTCTTCATTTTAACTCACAGAATTGGAGATGAAAATGGTAACAATGGATAATCGTATAAGAAAGATTGATACTGAAACCAACTTGATCCGCGTCAATCATGAAGGTTTGTGCAATAAGAATTATTTCATGTTATCCATCTCATTCGATAAGGTAAACAATGTCCGAATATGGCAATTTAATTTAAGGGGTATGCTTATTTGGTTTTCGTATTTTTATAGATAATAGATGAGACAATATTTAGAAACAATTCTTTTACTTTGGTGATGCTCCTGTTAAAATGCAGTAATAAATTTTGAATGGTGTCTATTTTTTATTAGTTTTAAAAGCTGCATATAGTTAGTGATAGTATTATAAAAAAAGAACTTTATTTTTCATTTGAACCAATAGAATCGGAACAGAAAATTGAGAATCTTACGATCAAAGTGATGCGCAATCATGAAGGTTTGTTCAAATTGAAATAAATGGATTTTTTATTTTAGTCAATCATTATCCAGCTTAGCCATTGAGGTAGCTGATGGCTCAATACGAAAATTGCTTATGTATTCGTTCGTGATGCACAACGTTTGTGAATGTATATGTTATTCGACTCGTAAAAATGCTTTTATACTTAGGCGCAACTGATCTTCGTACAAAGAGGTCATATCTCGAACTCTTTTTTCTATATTAAGCAACCGTATAAAGGCTACGATCAAGATGGTCATGTTCACCATATCAGAATCCAAGGGAATGCTGAAGATGGCATTTTATTTAGCTAAAATTTCTATATATACAATCTTGAACACGAAATTAATTGTGATTGCAGTTTTGCTCATGGCATTGCCTTCATGCTTCGATTAATAAATAAATAAAGGGATATGCAAACGATAAATTACATGCCATAAAAGCGGTAGATTAACAAGAAACTTTAAACAATGATGTTTCCTCGACGCTTGACCCGAGAAATTTTCTTCTACTTGTTTCATAACCGCTATTTAGATTCAAAATATTTAACCACCTGATAGCTAATTTTACCCTAGTCTACAGAAGATTTTACAGAATCTATGCCTATTTTAATGATGTCTTTGCCAATACTTCCATGCACATCACCATAAACTTTTCACAAATGTTAGTGTGGTTGAGACTCAATCGAGTCGAACTCATGTCGTTTTTTTCGAAGGTTTGAACTTGAAGTGACTAGAGCCATCTAAACAAAATGACTTGGCTGGAATTTAAAATCTGGTAATACCAGACAGACTTGACCTGAAACTTAGAACTAATTTCGATTGAGTCATTAAAGTGGCAAAAAAAAATTGGTAACTTGCGATTTAACATGTCGATTGATGTTTCGTTGATGAAAAATTTAAATTCATTGGCTTGCTTGTTGCAGCAATAACTAAAAGGCTGCACTTTTGTTACAAAGGAAAATATCGATAATGTATGATTTAATGCTAGTTAGTTAGATTTATTGTTAGTTAGTTTTCAATGTTCATGATTTTGTTGTTTATGAAATCTACTATGACTCAGACGCGACTCGACTTGACTGATATTGGGATATTTTTACCTCTGTGGGATTCGATACCACCATTTGTCTTGTCTTAATAAACATTACATTTACTACAATAAATAATGTGTATGTGTATATATTTTTCAATTTAAATAGTGATTTCATTTTCAAATTAGTATAAAACGCCCCTATTCTTTATTTTAACTCACAGAACTGAAGGTGAAAATGCTAACAATGGAAGATCATATGAGAGATATTGATACTAACACCAACTTGATTCGCATAAATCATAAAGGTTTGTGTCATAAGAATTATTTTTTTTTCATTATTTTTTTATTCTATTTTATCTTTCATTCGATAAAGTAATGGATGGCTCAATATGACAATTCAATTTATTGTTATCAGTTATCTATAAAGTGTAGGCGTATTTGGTTTTCATATTTTTATACTTAATAGATGAACCAATATTTAGAAGCAATCTTTTCCTCTCGTGATGCTCACACATTGCTCGTTAATGTGTATGTGCATTCTATCCCCGCACAAGAAAATCTCCAGTGCTCAATGCAATTTTGCACCGATCTTATTCAATATACAATGAAACGGTTAATTCTGGGCTTTCCTTATTAAAGTTGACGATGCGCCCAAATTTTAAATTGTATCTTTAGTATACCTATTTCTAATCTACCGTGCAGAATGTTAGTCTCTTCTATACTTCGTCATCTCTGAAAATTTGTTTGTTATGCGTGAAAAATTTCTTTTTTAGATTTTTCTTCTTCTGTGAAGAATTCCATCGATACTATGAAACTAACTCTGCATCATATAGAAAGTTTAGGTGAGATACAATTATCGTTAAAATTTTATGAATGTATTTTTAAATAGACATGGGAAATTGTTTGAGAATATATATATATATATATATGTATGTCTGACTAACATTAATCACCTACGGCGATGACAGATATATTCAAGTGTGTAATTGTATTCAGAATATCCAGTAGCTGTGCGATTGGTTGGAGGAAACATCACTAAACGTTCAGGTCGTGTTGAAGTTCGTTACAACGACATATGGGGGACGATCTGTGATGATGGCTGGGGGCAGGAAGAATCAAACGTTGTCTGTCACATGCTTGGTTTCGGAAACGCTTCAAGATATTATAGTAGTGCGCACTTTGGAACGGGGTATGGGAAGATATGGCTCGATGACGTCAAATGCACTGGAATTGAAAGCGACATTACTTGGTGCCGACATATAGGTTGGGGCAATCACAATTGTGGTCATGGCGAAGATGTTTCCGTTGCCTGCGATTCTGTGCCGGAATCATGAAGTATGAAAGAATTATTTACTATATTCAACATTCTCAATGAATGATACAATCCTAACCAAACTCATATGACGATACAATAAATGAAATTATTAACAAAAATTCTCAAGGCAGTTATAATAGCGATTATCTGTTTGAAAAACTCAGATAGAGGTTATGCAATGTACACACTTAAACTAGGGTTTGTTGATTTAAAAAAACTTTGCAAATATAATCCAACTATAATCGTTTTATAACGATTGGCACATTTAGATTTTGTCTGGATATTAATTTTCTTGGAAAATATGCAGTTTGTTATTTGACAGATTATATATTTTGTTTAAATAAATTTTAGGCTAGTATTGAAAACTCTACTGTTTTATACAGAAAAATGTTTTATGTATCGTTTTGTCTTAATTGTTATTCTGCTTCATGTTTTTAGTGGTGTTGGTGGAACAAAGAGCGCTCCACGCTTAATTAACAAACGAATCGTTTTCTGCGTTTCTAGTAGTTACAGATGGAATCATCTTCCAAAAACAATTATGGTTAAATTTATCATTTTGCATCTGAGTAATCTGGGACCGTTTTATTCCAAATCTTGCTATTGAAAAAAAGCGCAAACATGCCGGTTTCTTCCTATGAGTTTTTGACCTAGAGATTTTGCAACAGCAGGGTGGATGTATCGTTTCATTAACCTTTTCATGGACCTAAAATCTTCATTTTCCCAGTTCGAAAATAATGCAGTCTAGTGTACGTTCAAAATTTCACAGATATTTGAAAAAAAGTTCCTAAGTTCTTGAATCTGACTTAATAATAACGTTTATAAAGTCAGTAAAATAGTTGATTAACCCCTTGACGTCAGGCTGAGTGAGTGTGTGCTGGGGTAACTTTGGTCACAAGGGTTTCCGAAAGAAATGAATGTTAAAATTTAAGTTTGTTAGCCAATTCAACAAACGAAGGGTTAATTTTTTCATGATATCACAGTGAAATTCTTGATATTTATTTCAACATATAATCGCATCACTTCGATTCTAAGTAAATGGTATCTGTGTGGGAATATGAAACTTAAGGTATTGAGAATTTGTAATATCGGGCCGATATATATCCGTTGAGCTCTAATCCTGAGTGAGTGTGACAATAGAGATTCATGCCTCCAGTCTCAACGTGAATCGAAATACCAAAGGATCCAAGTCACAACTGTAGTTTGAAATTTTACCGGTTCCTAGTAGTCTACCTCAAAGTGGTTCAAGGTTGCTAGGTTTAAGGACCGCAAAAACTTTTGAGGAGGTGTCGCGGGCCGCATGTCGGAGAAAACCCAAAAGTGATCGAAATATTGCGAGTTTACTTACTTTAAATTTAATAAACAACAAGGATTTACCGTTCTAATCAGACTATTATTATGTTGCAAGGGTGGCGTTTTTTTTATTAAAGAAGATATCGTCACGCTAATAACCGAATTGCGTAAGTAATTTTTGGCGATTTCGAGTTTTTTATAAAATAGGTATTTATGTAATGCTGCGCACCTGTCATTTAACTCAGATTTTATTTTGGGAATTCCGAAACCCATAAAAATTGAGATTTAGTATGACATGCACATTTGTGCAATTGTTTCGTCATAATGAATTATCAATTTTACCGCAGGACTATTGTGACGTCACAAAGGCAAAATAACCTCGGCGAAGTATTTTCGAGTTTTTGCATCTCGGATTCTAGCTTAGCGCGTACAGTGTAGGAAGGCGTGTACTTGTGATATTCACTGTCCGAGTCCAATTCACCTTGGTTGGCTTTTATATTGGGTGCATTGCTGTTTTATTCTTTATATTTATTCTTAGTCTTATTTCAGTGGGGGTGCAGAACGTGTTATATTGATGAAATATATATTTTTAAACAATATTATTAGGAAGTTTTTTAAGTTTTTCTTAAAACTGCTAAAAATGACTTACGCAATTCAGTTATTAGCGTGACGAATTATGACTCGCCAAGCATTTGGATGAGCCTCTTGTTTTATCAATGTTAGGCAACCCATCGTTCGCTGGTCGGATATGACCACCAGTCGAAATCATTTGGCCTGAGATTCAACTAGCACTTACTTACAAGAATACAGCCAGTCTGAGTTTAGTTTCAAATCGCAATGTTGCCACTGTTGGAAAAATATTTGTGGGATAGCCAAATAATCTCGGTCGCAATAAAACTACGGTAAACCAATTTTTCTCACTTAATGACTACAATACAATAACACGTTATAGACTCATTGGCAGGTTTATTAGTACTTATATCTGCGCGAAACAACACATAGTTTAGCATTTTATGAGTTGTATATATACGTGGTAGTTTGATATCTGCAGTGAAGTATAGGTATTTTTATATAAGTATTGATTATATAAATACTTCATGATATACCAATAATTCGGAGAACCTTTATCGCAGCTCTGGAACAGATCCACCCAGGTTAAGAAACATTACCTTATCTTAGAGCTGGGATTCCCAACGACAGTGCCGCGGCACATTAGTGTGCCACGGAATGATTGTTAGTTTACCGCAGAATGAATATTGGTGTGTCGTGGAACTTGGATTGCCTACCAAAAACATTGCGCCGTGTATCGTTACGTAACAATAACCTCTATATATAGAGACGCGCGCGCTTAGCATCCAGCACCTATGCCGCTCTGCTTGGGCCTGGAACTCGCGCGTCACTGAACCTATTCCGCGAGAATTACCCCACGGCTCTTGCTAACAAACAGAAACGACAAATTTGAGGAGTCGTATTTGGGTATTGTTTCAATTCTCAGTTTTGCATAAAGCGCACCAACATCGTTTCGTAAAATTGAAAATGTCAAACAAGGTAACAAATCATTCTGCAAAACATTTACCAAGGATTTATTATTGGACTAGTAGAATCGTCATTATTCTCGATTCATTGAATCATTATTTAAACTCGAAATAACATTCAGGATTCACGCATTTACTATTTAAAATGAAAATAAAACGGGCAAAATGGAAAAGTAAAATTATAAGAAGATCAGATGCATTCTCGGAACGGACTTGTTTCCAACCTTCCAACCAGCCAAGTTGTGATTTACGGGTGAATTTAGGCTACATAATACAGTATATAGAAAACAAGTTTTATTAAACGCAATAATATTATAGACACGATAGAAAAATGCAAACAGAAAAAGAGACAACAAATCCCGAAGCCAGTTATTTTACGGTGACAGTAAGGACGACTAAATCCGACGCGTAAGACAATAGTAAGAACGAAATTCATTTAGAAATTTTGGTTGCAAATTCATTCCCAGATCTATCCGTCAATAACTATCGAGTTTATCGAACTGAGTGCGCAGTTCCGCGAATAATAAAAAAAACTAAACATTGGATTGGATGCAGATTGCCGGAACAATTGCAACACTATCACGAAAAATACTTTGACCTATATGGGATACTGAAATTTTAAAAGTACTGCTTTGAAACTCATTTAGATCGCGAGCCACAGGTAACAGCCATGTAGGACGCGGCTTGGGCAAGCTTGGTGTAATGGAAGACTTTTGAATCACTCCAAATCAGGTCTGCACAACTCAAATTACCACGAGGGCCGCAAGCAGAAATCTGAAGGCCCGGTGGGCCGCAAACTTTGCCACATATTTCACAACATGAACTACAAATCAAATTGATATTGTGAAACAGTTAAATTTGATGAAACACTTTCATTACTGGGGAGCTTAAAAATATGAAGAATCTTATTTTCTTTGAGTATTTAGTGGTTCATCTACCTTGAAAACCCACCCTTTATTTTCAATATTTCTTTTTTATTAGAATTAGGTATTGCGTGTTGCAGTATCAACTGACTACAGGTCTGCAGGAAAATATTGTACTCGGGTTCAGTTTTGTAAAATCGTCCCACATATAGATATTTAGTCATATCTAACATTTTTAGATATTTCCATTGTAGGCTGGACAAACAATCCGTTTAGTAGCAGTAGAAATTTCTCTGTTGTACTTTTCCGACTGTCAAATTACATTTTTCTACAAAATCTGCTCCATTTTTTGAAGTTTTACAGTAAATAGCAATATCTTTTGTGCGAAAATTTCTGCAGCATTCATAAATGAAAGAATTGTTTTTCAAGTTCTAAATTTGAAAAAGAAACTTCAGTTTCATAAACTGCTAGTGAAAAATAGTGGGGTTAATAATAGGTTGCCAACATGCACTACTGGGTGTGAGATCGTATACCGATATTGTTTTGAGCGTGATTCAGTTTGAATACCGAGATATCTGAATCAGGGTTTCCCAAACTGGGGGGCGAGAGGTCGAGCGACGAATTTTTAGGGTCGCGAAGGGCACACCAATTTTACACAAAGTTCGTTATTTATTGAAACTAGTGCAAAACATAAATCTCACGATTTCTAATATGATCGGAGTAGCGGCGCGCTAGCATAAATAACAATGCCGGTGTTGATTGTTTAGACCCGGGGAAGAGGCGTGATTCTAAATCACCCGCGGGCCGCACAGAGGTATCTAGCGGGTCGCATGCGGCCCGCGGGCCGTATGTTGTGCAGGCCTGCTCCAAATGATCAAGGCTCGAAATCTCAGGCCCCGTATCTTTATTTCGTTTGAAGATTGAAAATCTACAATCTTGCATATGGTAGCTAGCTATATTGTATACGAGTCTGATATTCATTCATATAGATTATAGGATCAAGTCGATTACTCAGGTCGAACAATAGTGAAATTTATTTTGATTATCTTTTGGAACCGGCGGTTCAGAACACCAAATATAAATGTTGCCAGATCTCCTACCTACCTACCTACCTACCTACCTGATTGACAAATACACAACCTTAAATAATTTGTCTCGTGAATATAAAATACAAGGGATAATCAAGTTCAAGTTATTGATGTGAAAAAATAAGACAAAATAAAAGTGTGATATTTATGGCCAAATTAGGACACCGGTGAATAATTATGGCCAGCCGACATGAAAATTTTATAAACAGTCTTGAACTACCAATTGGTCGTTTCTTATCATGTGCCCAGGTAATTTTATTTTTATTTTCATACATTGCCTTTTTGTGTTATGAAATTCTGCGGACTTACTTATCACAAAAAGGTACACATACAGATCCGCCTCCCTTGCATTTGACTAACGCTCCCTCAAGGCGAATGGAGGTGCACCTCCAGGTTGAAAACTGTTTTTCGAGACAACGTATTCAAGCAAACGATTGCACGAGTTAAAAAAGTATTATAATATGGTGAAAATTTTATGAAATGTTCGATATAAA